CCACCCCTGCCCGTAGAGGCAGGTCGTAGTGTTTAGGGCTCCTTCTCCCAAAACATTTTGGCTGAGCGGAGCCGATCAAAGTCACCAGGAAAAGGGACACATCCCCGTATCCTAAATATACCAACCCAAAAAGTTGGGAATCGCACACCTCAAGGGCTACACCATCCCCAGATAACCAGGAAAGGGAACTCATCCCCATAGCCCAACGTACCAACCTGGAAAGTCGTGAATCCTGTGCTCTAAGGGCCACGCCAGCCCCAGATCACTGGGAAAGCAGATGAATCCCCATATCCCATTCCAGGAAAGGAGATGTATCCCCATATCACAAATGTCCCATCCTGGAAAGTTGTGAATCTCATACCCTTAGAGCTAAGCCAGCCCCAGCACAGCCTCCCTCCCTCCCTCCCTCCCAGGGAACACTGATCCCACTGGTTATTTTTAGCATGACTCTCCTGAGAGGCCCAGGCGACTGGTTTCGTCCTCCAGCCGTGGATCCCCCTGGCCAAAGCACGTCCCCAGCAGGACCAGGCGCCCACATGCAGAAGAGGATGGGTGAGGCGGTAGCCCGGGTAGCCAGGAAGGTGAATGACACGGTGGAGAACAAAACGGATTCCCTGGGTAAGGCCATTGCTGCAGCTCAGCTCCCGCTCGGGGCCCAGGGAAGGATCGGGTATCTGGGAGCAGTGCTCTATTTTTTGCTGTCACAGTCTAAAAATAAGAAGCTGTTGGCCCCCCTCTGGGTGCTGCACTCGAGGCTCCCGTGGCCATGGGGAGGGGAATGGTTCCCCTAAAAGCCCCTCAACCCCCTCCCACAAGTTTGAGTGGGTTCCTGGTAATGGCGTATAATGCACTGGGACATGCCCCAGGGGTACAATCCCTCCTTGCAAGTGATGGCAGGAGCCAGACCTTCCCCGACATCGCTTTGTCAATCTGTGTTGTTCTGCAATTTCCCTATTCCTAGCTAATATCGAAGACCCACGCACAGTTCATCAAAAGAGATGAAAGCCACTCATTTTTATTCATGCTTGATTCTCAGCCCTGGGGTATAAACCAGCACACACTGAGAGTCATAGCTTCATCACTCAGCTGCTCGACATCCTCCTGAGTGAGATGATAAGCAGGGGAGGACAGAGCTTACGCAGCTCCTGCCATGGCTTTGGGGAGAGGACAAGCAGCAGAGCTAAGGCTGAGCACTATGGGGCTGGTTTCCACCCTCTGGCATGTCCCAAAAAGAGAAACAGAAACACCTTGGAGTAAAACAAAATTGCCAACAGATCTAAAGCACAGCCAAATCCCTTTCCCCTCCCCACCACTTGCTGTGGAAAAGCACCCATCACCACGAGAAAGCCAGCCAGGAACATGTCTAGGGAAAGCCCTGTTCCACCCCCATCCCAGTCAGCAGTGGAGGAGGCATCCCTGTACTGCTCAACCATCCCCTGGTGTTTAGGGACATAGTGGAGGGGGATTTCTGAAGTTGTGAAGGTATTAGACACGGATGGGCTGGCTGAAGTTTTCCAGAAGGACTTTGCACCATGGCAGTATTTGCAATGTGACTTAGGGTTGAACAAACCTAAGGCAGAACAGCCCCAGCATTGCTGATGGGAACAAAGTATTGGTGCTTGGGGAGGTAACTGCAGAGATCCCTGCAAGACAGAAAAGCATGGCAGAGGATATTACAGCATCCACGGGTGGCAGCACCCAGATGAGAAATCAAGCATTAAGGAGTGGAAAACAAGATGAAAAGTGTTGCTCCATCCCAGCTGGGGTGCATGATAAGATGCCTTGGTCTTTCTGGGACAGATTTGGCCAACTGCAAACTGATGACCTTCCCCATCGGCATCTACAAAGCCATGAGAAGCGTCACTGAGGGGATCCACTGCATCTCCCTGGCAAACAACGAGCTGAAGTCCATCACCAACCGATTTGTCACCACCTTCAACCAGCTGAGAGGTAAGGAGAAGCCCCACTGCTTCACAGCAGCCACTTCCAAACCCTAGGACCTAGCCCACAGGTTGCTGCAGAAGGGGCACATCACCAGAGCTTCCCCACTGCAGTTTTTGCTTCTCTATACACACACCCCCTCATTCCAAGCTACAGTTCAGTTCCCCTCAGATCCATTTTTCTTAACGCTTACCAGCCCTTGCAGGAGGTGGGGACTAGTTTTTCTTTCACCCATCCTCCCAAACTCATGCCCTGCCAGGCTGCTGCAGGGTCACTCATCAACCTCCAGCTCCCTCCAAGGATGAGGCTGGGGTTGAACAAGGACAGGAAAGGCAGCTTGGGCATAATGGTGCCTGGCCAAGATGGGGCATTTCAGGCTCCAAAAGGCATGGTGGCTTGCTGCTGGCTGATTAGCCCCATCATGAGACATCAGTGTTAGCTGATCTCTCTTCATTCACTGCAGGAGATGGGGACAGTCATCAGAGCATAGCTGCTGCCATGCTGTGGAGCCCAGCAAAAGCAACCAGAAGTTAATCTGCTAAAGCATGGTCATGCAAGCATCCAGATCACTCAGCACCATGGTTTTGAACAATGGAGACTGCACTGGGGCTTTGCCTGCCTGCAGCAGCACCGGGGGTTCTGGCAGCTTTTGAAGGCAAATATTTTGCTCATTCAATGTACTGCACAAATGCCACTGTGGTGGGTGGCTGGGGAAGCTTCCTGTGTTGTACAGCAGCATAATCCATAAAAACTCTCCTAGGATGGGGAAAAGAAACACACTGAGCAAAGGAAATTAATTTTCATTTTCTAGACAGCACAGTGAGCCCCAAGGGGAAAAGGTCTCTTCCCAGCAAGGGCTTTCTTCTCTGTCAGGGAACAAATCACTCCAGTGATGAACATGCTGGGCCTCAGCAGGGCTGTTGCAGTGGACAGCCTTGCAATAGGCTGAATAAGGCAGGACCTATAAATACGAGGTATTAGGAGGGGCAAGGAGGCTTGCGTGGGTATTTATAGAGCAGAAAGATCTGTGTGACTGGAGAAGGGGCTGGGGCAGTGGGATTTAGGTTCCTGTGGCTAATGGCCTTCCATGCAGAAGTGCTGTGCCTGGCCACACAGGAGCTCATTCTACAAGGCGGGTGAGAGAGCATCACGGAGGGTTAAACTCTGTAGCATAGATGTTTTTCACATACAGATACATGTCTTCCACCGCTCTGTTTATACCTCAGAAGAGGTCCAGGTATGTGAAGGTAGAAAACTAGCTTTAAACCATGACAAATGTCCAGTCGGGGGAATTGCACCAACTTTACTAAGAAATGTTACTTATTTCTACAGCCCCTGCTTGCAAAACGCTGCAAGGGTTTCATTAGGAAAGCCTGAGAAAGCCAAGAAACCTATCAATACTAAAAACAGTATTCACAACAGGCAAAAGTACAATGGCAAACCATTGGGATGAGCAAGAAATCCCATTTTTGGTGTTGGAATTTCATTGCTGAACCTGGCAGCCCATGGGGGACAGAGGCCGTAAATTAAGCTGTGCATTAATTATTTTTTCTTACCCACCACCCTC